AGACATTGCAATCCATTAGGCTACATCTCATTTAACATCAGGTGAGACCGTGGCTTACGTCTGACCAGTTCTGTAAAAAAAGAGAATCATATTAATCGCTCATTTTATCATTCTAATCCGCGCCCTTATCTGAAAATTTACCTGAAAAACACGAAGTTTCTTTTTGCCGATTGTTTTTATAAATATTGAAACTTGAGTAAATCATAGTGTTATATAACTACTTACAGTCTCTATTAAGGGGAAGACACTCTGTTCTTGTTTACTAGATTTACCACTGTTTAGCACTTAAGACTAACGAGCACTCACACTATTTTACTAATTCGAATGGTTTTGTCTTTTTAAATTTTCTCTTCTAGACCCGTTTTAAGAAGTTGAATAGCAATAACGTGCTATATACAAAATAAATGAGTTACAAGAGTTAACTCGCATTTGCTCTGTTCAAACCTCTCTAACTAGTATATTTATAAATGTATGTAATAACAGCAACCTAGACGATGAGCATCTTTACTTATATATGATAAGGACTTTCATTTACAAAATAGAACTCTAGTGACAAATTAGAACATACATGTCAGGCTCTAGTTGGTATTGTGAATGTACGTTGATGATTAATGAAACTATTATGTCCATCCTGAGTGGGTGGTGGGTCTCTTATACATATAACAAGTAACTAGCACGTTTAAAACATACATCGGTACCGAGAATAGTACAAAACTTAGGAAAAACTCAGATGTCCAGCGATAAACTTTTCTTCCTATGTATGTAATTAACACTTGGTCGGGAGAGAAAATATTTTGAGGAAGGAGCCAAGAATCAATAAAGGGTCTAGATGATGAAATTAACCATAAAGTTTATTTATTTATAAAAAACACAATCCTGTCCTAACAGGTGCGACTAAATCGACAAGAATACATAACCAATAAAAAAAAATTCGCTCACGAAGCAACCAACAAACATATAAAATTAATTAGGAAAAACTAAATTACATAATAAAAATACAAAAAAATGAACTAAATACTATAGGCGCTTACAAATATTATAACTTTTGTCAGTTCACTCAAAGGACAATAAAAAAGGTCCGTTAACCTATGTAATTCGTTAACTAAATTAATATGTGCCCTTTTCAGAAGGCAAACGCCTTCTGACGTACCCATCAGGCATATTTAAGCTAAAGCACTGTAGTACTGCGAAATTGCTGTTCTTGCCATGTAACAATTTTATTGATTACATAAGCGCGAATTCTGGCTCGTAGTAGCCCACATAACCAAAATTAAATGAGTTTGGTTAAAAGGTTAGTTACGCTTAAAAATCTTATGCTACGAAGAGTATTTCATTTTTAAAATAGCATCTAATGCAATCTCTAACAAAGGCTTTTTCAATACAAAAAAGTGGAATAAAGTTTTCTTCTAATTTGTTATCACCTTGAACAGAAAAATGCCGATCATACTTCAAATCATTGCTGCAATCAGCACTAATCCTTCAAGAGCTTTGGTTATAATGCGCTAAATCCCAGCTTTCGACAGCCTAAGAAATATTTTCGATTCGTACAGTACTTTACACAAATATTATTCGAATTATGTTCATCCGCCCGCCATGCATGACTTCCGAACATTTATTAATATTAACGATTGAGTACTGAGTGTGCAAATCTTTTGATCTCGAAACAACTAAAATACTATAAAAACATTCGCAACGAAGTAACGATGCTGTTGACATCTTGATAATGAGGAAACTTGGGGCAAACTTACCGAAGCTTTACCTGAAGTTTCACACAATGCGGTCTCGGATTGACTTCTAAAGATCATTATTCTACCTGTTGCCTGCTACAGTTTATGAATGGTTGGTGATAATTTATTACCTAAAGGTAAAGTGTAGCATGGATGTTAAAGTGGACGTCACACTACCCATAATATATATCATTAATTCTGAATTTAATCCCCCCCCCCCTCCTCTTGTCAGCAAAAGTAAGCATAGCTCTCAAAAATAATCGTACATAATCGTATTAATTTTTTGTAGGAATCCTCGAAAATGCATTTCGTTTTTAAGCATAGACAATGTGTCGGTAATATGTGTAAAAAAGTAAATAATTACGGTTGCCGCCTTATACTTAAATTCACAGATAAAATAGTCAATGCAGGAGGAGTAGGCTTAGGAAACTTTTAATAAAACACTATTTTGACCGGATTGAAGTTATGTATTGTTATAAATTTACAACTATTTAACATAATTTTAAATTTATCCGACGTTTCGCGTGCTTTACAGCGTGCGTGGTCACGGTGACTGAAGACAAAAGATGTTGAATGTCAAAAAGTATCACAGCTGCAGAGAAAGTTGCATTATCTGTATTTATTTCCCCGGAGTTGGTATCGACTAAAAGATGGAGGGTTTTGACAAAAATGGCTTACGGTGTCCTCTATTTTCGCGGATTGTGTTTCTTTTTGAGATTTTAATTTGGATATTATTGGATCCCAGGTGTTTGACAATTTTAGGCCGTCTTCTCTATTGAAATTGGGGTGTTTTTTGATTTCAATGGCTTCGCGTACCAATCTTGGGAAGAATCTTTTCTCTTTCGCAAGTACTTTCGGTTGGTCAAAGCGTATGTAGTGATTAGGCCTATCCAGTATGTGTTCACAGACTGCTGATTTTGTGTGTCGTCTATGTCTTATGTCTGCAATGTGTTCTTTGAGTCTGCTGGACATATTTCGTTTAGTTTGCCCTATGTAAGACAGGCCACAGTCGCAATCCAGTTTGTATATACCTGCATCTTGCAATGGGGTGTTACTTTTGATTGGTCTTAGGAATTGCTGAATCTTCTTGTGCGGCTTGAAAATTGTATGAATAGAAGCTCGTTTTAGGATCCGGCTAATTCTATCTGTAACTCCCTTTACATATGGCAAGTAGGCTGGCTGGCGGGGAACTGTTTGTGTCTTGTTTTTGTTTTTGTGATGCAGCCGGGGGATGCGCAGCTTGTTTCGGTGTAGCACCTGTTTGACATGCTGTAGTTCCTCCTCGAGGTGGGCATCATCACAAAGACGTTGGGCTCTCTGAAACAAACATTTACCGACAGAAAGCAATTGTGAAGGGTGGTGGTGGGATTCACCATTGAGGTACCTATCTGTGTGGGTTGCCTTCCTGTGTATTGTGTGACCTAGTGTGCCATCTGCTTTGCGTATAATTAAAATGTCTAAAAAGGGCAGACGGTTGTTGTTTTCTTGTTCAACAGTAAATTTAATGTTCTTGTGTATTGAATTTAAATGTGCTAGAAATGCAGATATTTTGTCATTGGGGAGTACTACAAATGTGTCATCGACATATCTCTTGTACAGTCGAGGTTTAACCGGGGCATTGGCCAGAGCTCTCTCCTCAAAGTCCTCCATGAAGATGTCAGCGACTATAGGTGACACTGGAGAACCCATGGCTACTCCATCAACCTGCACATAGAACTCATCTTTCCACATTAAGTATCCTGATGTGAGACAGTGTTTTACAATATCTACATAATCTGGTGACATGTTCTGTTCTCTAAGTCTTTTTGCAATGATATCTAGGCAGTCATTTAGTGGTAAGTTTGTAAATAGTGACTCAATGTCAAAGCTCACCATGGTTTCATTGTGGAGTAATTTGAGATCTCTCAATGTTTCCACAAAATGGTAAGAGTCCTTAACATGAGCACTAGTGTGCCCCCTGAGAGGGGATAATATTGACACTAAGTGTTTAGCTAATTTGTATGTGGGTGAGTCGATATGACTGACTATGGGTCTTAAAGGATTGTTGTGTTTGTGTATTTTTGGCAATCCATACATTTTTGGAGGTTTTACGCAGGCTGTTGTTAAAGATTTGACGTCTAATGACAGTGTTTCAGAATATTTAGTAAGGAGGCTAGATGTTTGTTTTATTACCTTGTTTGTGGGATCTTTATCGACTTTTTTATAGGTATTGACATCGTTTAAGAGGAGAGCCATCTTGCTTTCGTATTCCGACGTATCCATAACAACGGTTGCGTTCCCTTTGTCAGCTCGGAGTACTACCAAATCTTCGTTCGCCTTTAGCTCCGCGAGAGCCTTTGTTTCAGCGAAGGTGAGGTTTCGTTTTGGCGGTTTGCTTGCTCGCAGTATGCACGAGATATCTTGCCGTATGGTTTCAGCCTCATCCTTAGGAAACTTTATAGGGTTGTTAAATTAATGTTGGTAAATGTCTATTCAAATATAACTAAATGGGATAAGGTGAAGCTTAAATAGAACCTAAGTCTTTACTTACTCTGGAATATTAATCATATGTCTAAATAGAAACGTCAGAATACGACCCGGTTGAATTTATGAAACTCGTTATCCGGGCCCGGACCATATCCGGTTATTACAGGACCGGACACCCGGCTCAATATTACGCTGAATAAACTTTTCACTATTCTCTTTTCAACAATATGCCTTTTTCAACTATGACCTCTATTTATACAATAGGTATTAAGATGTATGTATACTGTGAGTCTGTTGCCTCACCGTTACCATTAGATTCAGCCTTGATAAAATATTATAATAATAAAAAATCGGTTGTCTGTAAAGTCGGTTTACTGACGATAGTTGAACGTGACAACGTCATAAGAAAATACTAATGGAATGGTTGCATTGCGAGGTAAATGGAAATCACAATTGAATTGATCAAGTTACATTTATTTGTACGGATAAATACAATTATGTCGCATAAATACACATAAATATACAGATATCGAACGCTGCCGAACGTGGAGGCCGATTGTGCCTCTTTGTCGCTCGTTCCGCGCTCTCTATTGCATTTCAAGCCTTAAATGGAACGCCTCAGAGCGAGGTAACGCCGCATGCGTCATATTTTTTCGTGCGTGCAGCCGGCTCCATCGAATTATAAGACGTTGTCACGTCAAAAACATAGTCAACCTGCATTACCAAGGCTGTTCATATTAAAAAGGTTCTTCTCTTTTCAGATGCCATGAACGGGTAGCGAGAACCTTGATGGCGCGGTGACACAGCATGTGCCGTGCGCACCTCGCCGCTCTCTTGCGGCTACTCATATTGGCTGGTAAGAGAAATCATATTGACATAAAGAATTAGACTTCTTCCCGCAAAGGGAAAACATTGTGTGTGTAGCACAGAACACACATATAGGACAGACAATCTTGTGTCTCAGTAAATAATGTAAGTAATTAAAATGGACGTTATTATTTTATTCAAGTGCTATCTTAAACATGTCCTGTGTCATCTGTATAACATAGATATCTGTCGTTACTTCATGTGCTCACAGCTAGGATAACCTAAAAGGGAATATATGCTTCGCTGTATTACTTAAGTTAATGAATTAAATAGGTTAACGGTTAGGGCCTATAATAGTTAGTTTATTTATTTTATTACGTTATTTTGTTTTTCCTTATAAATTTTTTGTTTCGTGTATAAATTGTTTTCATTTGTTGTGCATTCTTGTCGACTTAGGGTCACCTGTTAGGCCGTAATAAACAGCGCGGTACTTCATCAACCAATTAAGAATGTGGCTTTGAAACGTCTGTTATCTTGATAGACATTGCAGTTGGTGGTCTGAGTGGCACGGCAAGGCGAGCCCCCTTCGTGACCTCTCTGGGTTATTTTTACCACTGCGCTAGTTGCTAGTAAAATGCCAAGATTTATGACATAAAATCAACGTATAGAAAAAGTGTTAGTTTCTTATCTACTAGCTGCGTTAATACAGGATACACACATATATCTTTGATACATGATTTCAGCTTATGTATGGCCAAATTTTGGCAAAAAAATATTTTTTGTTAACCGTTATTCGTTTTCTAAGTACATTTTTAAATCACAATACATTACCCTCATACCGTCGGAAAAGAGTCGAAAAAATTATTAAGCTGCGAGAGTAAGCACGTGTATGATCATTTACTGAAAATGGGAATTATGGCTTTACTAATTAAAATGATTTCTTGAAATATATGTAATGTTCGGGGGTTAGAAGGGGCCTTGAAACGAATACGATATAAAGTCGAGTATAAAACATAGTTTTATACACAACAATTATATATCAGCCACAACTGGCACTACAGAAAGATCTGCAAGATATTCTGTTTACAGGAATGGAACCCATTAATAAAAGGTAAACAATGTATACAAAAACAAAGTAGTTAGTTATGAACTCTACCCTAAGGTTTATCAGTTAATTAATTTACAATAATTTTAGGAATATTACACGTATATATTTAATTCAGTTTTTATGTAAATTTCCTCCGCCTCTATCCTCTTAATAACGGGTATACTGAAATCATAGGATTAATAATAAGATAGAATCCCTAGAGTTTCTAGAAGATAATATGTGCATTCTTTATTTTTCTATTCACACTCCATTTTCTATACCAGCAATAAAAAGGTTCTCATAAAGTGTTCGTCTGGTCAAGTTAACTCATAAATCTTACAAACAAAAGCATAACGTAGAACAGAATATTCACCGCATTTTCACCCTCAGAATAAATTATCGGGATGTAAACAAAGGGTATGAAAACTGAGTTTTTAAATCATATTTACGATAACATGTTTTTGTGTATGAAATAAATGTTATTCAACAAACATTGTACAAATTATATCTCTAAACATATAATATAAAATTATTACCAAAAGTAAAATATGTTCTTTTAATTTTTTTTGACGATATCGTGAGGAAAGCAGCATGCCTTAGACTGAAAAAGTCGACGGCGTGTGACAGACACAGATAGCTGAAAACCTACTTGTCCAAGAAAAATAATGATATTATAAAACACATACAGAAATCTGAGGCTGAGACCTAAAAGGTTGTACCGCCACTAGTTGTTTTTATAAAAAACAGCTTCATCGGAGCTATGATACTTTGAAATATATGTGAATTGCCTATGATAGCAATATATTTTAACACATATTCATTATACACATTTTTATAGTTACAAATATATAGAATATATAGGTTAATAATTTTTTAGTTTCTTTTCTTTAATAACATTATTTAGTACCTAGTCTTATAAAAACTTAGTTTTATAAACTAAACTTTATCATATTTTAAAAAGCGGCTTTAATTCATGGGTTGTATATATCTAATTGATTATGAAATTTTAATTGGATGTTCTTTGACATAATGGATGATGAAAGCGAGTATCTATATATATAAAAATGAAACCCGTTTTCCGTTGTCACGACATAACATGAAAACTGCTTGACCGATTTGTGATTCTTTTTTTATAATATTCCTTGAAGTACGAGGATGGTTCTTACGGAGAGAAAAATTAAAAAAATTGAGTGAAAATATCTAAAAACAACACTTTTCTATATTCCCATACAAAATATTCGTAATAATATTTAAAGGCAATTTGAACTTTAATACCATATCATAAAGTTCAAGTGTTAGTGGAGGGGTTCCGGGAAGGTAAATTTTTATTTTTTGACATAATGTATTTGTTGTATTATCAACTTTCTTTTTTTTATCTTACTAGCTAGACCGGTGTTCCGAATAGCAGAATAAGTATTAAAAAAAGTAAAGAATCGACTGTTAGGCGGTACGATGTTCGCCAGGCCAGCTAGTTTTTGATAAATTCTTAAAAATATTAAATTTTCATCAACAATTATTATTCTGTACAAATTTCTATGGAACACATTTTTTACCAGCATAAGACTGAACAATAAAAGTGTTTATGTTTTTATGTAAATGCCCCATAGGCCTTTATCATGTCTGTAAAAAGCCGTCATTGCTTACAAACGCATTTATGGTTTATGTCACTAACCTAGAATGCCACAAATAAAACGAGCATTGCCGTTTATTGAATGCAAATAATATTAAGAACACTTCTTCATGTAAATAGAGTGGTAATAGTATTAATCACTCTACATTGACATCACAGTATCTACATTGTACCTATCCGTACGATTCCTTATACTTATAAAAATGAATTTGTTTGACAAACTACATAAGATGTCTTAGTTACATCCATATATTATTCTAAGCGTATTTAAAAACAATAGTTTTTAGACATAATAGTGAAGTTAAGTTATTCAAATTTATGCCCTTCGGATATCTCTATTTGCATGTTTTAAGCAATATTATTAATAAAAACAGGTGACTAAATACTCCTGTCTATTATCCTACTAAAATATAATAATAACTAAAATTAAATCCCTTAGAGCGTAAAATTTATTTCGCAAACAAAACCGAATTTATCTCAGCTCGTATTATGTTGGAACATCTTAATTTATGTAAACCACTTAACGCTGACACGCCCCTTGTGCATCGATTGTATAGGGATACAAAACTTGAGGGACCAGTATAAAATGGTTGGTGGTAGACGCATCAATTTCTGTGGTCGTGCAATGTTAAGACTCGCTTACGTAAATTACATTTTGTTCTGTTGTCTTTGGGTGCTAGTGAATAAATATAATTAGTTTAAATGAAGTGAATTAATTATAATTAGAAATTGTTTAAATAACAGCAAAATATTTTCAAAATTATTTTATTCACAGCAGAAATAATAATAATTTAAGGTAAAATAATGAATTGCGTAAATATTTAAATAGGTTCATTGAAGGTCTTCTGCGGGACGAATTACTTAAAAGTTTTCTTAATCATTTCGTTAACTAATTCAGCATTAAATTTCAAAGCTTAGTCTTTAGATATGTATCATTTTCAATATTAAGTATATTGAAAATTAATTGAATTTCGCGATCTGTGGCGAAGAACTATTTTTATTGTGTTCAAACGTGAACAAAACAAAAAGTGCAAAGTAAATATAAGTTGTAAATTAATAGTAAATAAAATAATCAATAATGAAACCGTTAATAATCATTTTAGTATATTTCCTGTTAGCTTTCGATGGAATATACTAATCCCGAATAAAACCATTTTCTAAAATCCATTAATCTCTGTCCTATAATACTGTTTCACACTCCATTAGGTACAGGTTCCATTTTTCAAAATTTACCTTCACTTCAAAGTTTGTGAATAATAATGCCTTATTTATTACAGAGTTTTATAGGTGAAAAAAGTGATAATTTACGTGCAGAGAACATAGTACGTTCACAGTTGTCTGATATGGTGTCTGATAAATTAAGCCTAATAACATAGTAATAAGATCTTATAGAATTAATAAGGCTTTATAAAGCAAGATTTGAGTATAGATTGATACTTCAATGATATTATACTTGAATGTATAATTCTAATAAAAATAAACAAACAATTGCCACAACATCTACAGCTTTGTTAAATTTCGATATCGTCTGCATTTTATTTACATCACCTTTTGACCCCACTAAATGAAATTACAAATAAAGGTTAGAATATATATTTATTGTTTGCCCTTCGGAATTTCATTCTTTTCTTTCATATAAATGTTTTTACGTTCTGTGTAAATCAATTCTCAATATTCAATAAGTTTTGTCACATATTTAAGAGAAATATAGGTCCAAATAAATCTCTTAGATATATTCTTGTATATGTACCTACAAAATGAAGTTTTAGTCATGGCCCGCAAAACAATACACAGATAACATTATTGTAAATAACGTGTATAATTGTATATACAGTAATTTTATTTTATTATCTGCAGGTGGTGCCTTCTACGTGAATCCATATACTAGCGAAGATCGGATCGACCTTAACCAGGTATGGGTGGAGATCCCCAAGAGTCTAGTCGCTTTGGGCGGCGATGTCCACATCCTCGTCCAAGGAGTAACCGGCGCTGGCAACTTAAGAGTTCGCCTCGCGCGAGAAGACGACGACGGCCGCACTCTTCTAGCCACCATGCCTCTCGCTTTAGATGCCGAGAGCCGAATGACTCTGCCGTGCGGGTATTTCTCCCGAGGGGGAATTTACTATTTAGAAATTGTTGCTGATAAAGAGAGTTTCTTAGATTACGGCAACGCTACAATTAACACCATAAAAGTTAAAAGAGATGTGTCAGAAGGAGGTCTGATGGAGACAGGGGATAGTGTGGTTAAGTCTTGGAAGTTTGACGTTCAGTGGCCAAGTGCTACTTTGGATGTTACTCCGGAGCAAATCCAGACGTATCCTGAAAGACAAGTAACGGCGATACTGGAGTTCCCAAAGGTTGTATGCACTCCGGTACAGACGAGTGCTGATTTTTGGTTGGAACTTTTGTATTGTGGACATTCGAGTGGCGGGGCCGTGTTGTGTGACGGAAAAAATACTAGTTCACATGCTCACGTGCTGTATTCAGAGCAGGTTTGTGCAATTTAATTTAAAACATATTAATTAAAAACCTTTATAGTATATATTCGAAACAATTAAATATGTAAATGCCTTCGTTAATCACATAATTATTAAATTGATATAAAAATAATCATCATATTTGCAAATAATAAAACAATTAACGGCGTGATTCGAGATAGATTACGTAGCTCAAGCGTTAATACAAATACATTCAGGTGCAATTCCGCTCTGATCCTCCAAAGGCTTCGCTACATTTATTAGTAAAGTTGTTCACACGCCGTTCTAATAATATTAGAACCCATATATTACACATTTCAGGAAACGTAGCAATACCTATTACACGACAAATGAAATGTGTGTTTGCTATATAATAACAAAAGACTTTTATTTTAGAGACATTTACACTGAAACATATTTGTATTTCTATCTCATTCTTTTTAAGTTTCTGTGTGCCCTTATTTAGCAAAGGCCTCCTCCATTCCTCTCTGCACTGTGCCACTCTCGCCTGCTGTTTCCTTAGTTTGATCTATCTACCTTCTAAGTTATATTTCTCTTTTTCGTTTGTTGTACCATGGGCCCCAGTTTAGCTCTTGCTCCACTTTTCTTTTCCTCTTGCCTCTTGTGTCCCGCCCATTTCCACTTAAGTTTATTTATGTTTATTGTAACGTCTACCTTAGTTGTTCTTCTTAAATATGTATTCTTTATTTCATCTTTTATTTTCTTCTCTATCATACACGCTGCATGTTTGCTATATTTATAACGCTAACAGGATACTGTTCAATAATACAAAAAACGGTTGTGTGTAATGGTTGGTCTACAGACCATTTCAACCACATTTATCTTTTCTGTTTCTACGATAAGATTACAAATAGCTGACGCCAATTTTATGATTTCCATAGAGTCTATTCACCTGTATATATGACTGATCAAAATGTTATTAGATGTATGGCTTCCCTGGTCGACGCACCATGACGCTTCGCTGTGAACTGTTCGGCCAGGCTGGAGATTATGCTCTCACCCTGAGACCTGCCGCTGCTGCTGGTCCCCAAGACTTAGCCCTAGCTTTTGTAAAGGTAAAGTATATAAACTTGTAATATAAGCTTTTTGAAGTTATATTTCTTTTGGCGCGTTAGGGAAAAATGATGAGAGTAAATATTTACGATGCGCGCGGACACAGTCGTGTTTATTTAAACCATAATAATAATTTATATACGAGAAAACTCGTTTAAATTGTGATAAAAGACATAGTGTTTATTGTAAAATATCATGATTAGTATATTATATCGACCATTAAAATGGACAAGAAAAATCCAATTCGAAGAGCGAAACGTCCCTCTAAAGTGCTCCAAGAAAATTATTACGCCAAAGAAGTATAACTTCTACAGCGTGTACATAAGTACACACGCGTTTTTTTTTTAAATGTAATAGGATATATTAATAAAAACTTAATGTAAAAAATTGACACAATAATCTGGTAGTTCGTGTCCGTGATACAACAAGAGCTGTTACTTCGCCTTTGTTATTATGGAATATGGGAATCAAAGCGCAATTTATAACATGACTTTTGAATAAATACAATGAATTTTGTTACCATTGTGGTAAATTTTACTAACTAAAGTCATTAAAGTCTATACTAGCATTTATTTAATGCACATTTTAAAGCCCAATTTGCAAAAATTCGAAGTGCTCAATAAAACTGCTCAATCGACACCTGTTTATGCCTCTGCTCACCTTTTCGTCATAAAAAAGCCATAAACCTGTGGCTATTTATTTGAAGTACCCTTTCAATATTCTAAAGGCAAACCCGCTATTTATTAACAACTGTTTGATGAGTTTTGTTTATTTACGTTGCCGTTCGGCTACACTAAATGGTTCATACAATTTAATTGAACGGCCTATCCTTTATATACATTAAGCTGAGCATATTTCATTTTATTTCATAAATTAGGATTGAAACTACTGAACAAAACTTCAATGTAATATAAGGTATGAATACTGAAGATTGAATTTGATTAGAATTCTAGTTTCTAGCAAAGAATAGTAATTAAATATAATAAGAAGCATTTCATACATAATACACGTACAAACTTATTTGACCAAACCTCTGTCTTTGATCGTAATATATTTTTTTTTAACAATATCGATACTAATTAATAAATAATATTTACACCAATTTTCACTAAAGCCCATTTAAAAAAACGTTCTACAGTTCTTATAGCTTAATAATTAATTAAAAATTTCTCGTCTTACCTTGAAGATAGCTTTCCAGTACTTTCATAATTTTAATGGATTCCCCTATATAACTAACTCATCTTAACTTCGTCACTTCATTGAACTTGTTAAATCGAACTTTGAAAGGGGTTTCGATACACTCCCTTTGACATATCTCTAGACCCATGTCTAGTACACGATAAATTCTTGTTTCGAATTCAGAATTACTACTATAGAATTACGAAAAATAAAATAAAGCCTTATTTTTGTCTCAATAATATTAGTCCTTACTCCTCCAGGCTTTGTGGTTGATATAGGCTGAACGGCTACAAATTTTTTAAATTTATATTTGTATAACAACGTAACAAATGCTGTATTTATGCGAAATAGCACCCAACCACTTTAACTGTGCTTGTTAAAGTTGCGAAGAATGCTAATATTGATTTATATTTAACATTAGATGTACTTAATAATTTTGTACACATAATACTATTCTTGTATTAATTTTAAATTTCTTTACTTGTTTCAGGCGGACTGGTCTGACCAATTCGTACTTAACGTTCACGGCGGGTCCGTGTTCCCCTGCGGAGATGGAGTGAGAGTCCTGTTCCAGTACCCCGAGTGTGTGCTGGACGGTTCTGACAGGGTGCGAGTCTTCGGTAGAGACAGCTCGGACAGACTGCGATATGTTGCGGAAAGGAGAGTTCGGAGGTGCTTATAAAACTTAGTTAACTTTATTCAATTTTATCAGAATTACCTAATAAGATATATAATTATGATTAAATCACAATTACTAATGTGATGAAATCAATTTTATCGTTTAAACCGAGAACGTCGCAAAATCTTGACAATTATTATTTCTCTAACTTTAGATTATATAAGTAAAAACATACAGCCTTACTAGTTTAGTACTTATATTATTTATTATTATGGGTCTTTACTTAAAAGTTCTGTAAATATTTTAATGTTCGATGGAAATAAACTAGAACGAAAAAAGCAAAACAGTTATTTTGCTTTTGTACGATATGAATAAAGACGACATGAAAAATTTTGGTTTCCTTAAATTCTTATTTGTCTTTTCAATATTCCTCTTCTGTGCTCTTTATTTATTGAGTTCAAGTTCTATTGATTTTTTGCAGGGGGCAGCACACAGCTTCCTTCGACTGTCGTCTGTTCAGTGAGAAATACCCGGAATATTGCTTCGTGTATGTGTCGCAGGCTGTTACTGGGGCCGTCGCAGATGTGCGCATGGACTGCTTACCGACTTTACCTTTATCAGGTATTTTCGATTAGTAAACAATATAAAATGATTCGATTCATAATTAACCAGAACATGCCAATAGATACAAATAATAGTAATTTAAATATTGGTTATCTTACTAAAATGGCTGAAAAGAATCCCTATTATTTTAGTTTGCTGATAGTTTTGTAATACTTATGCATTTTATTGCATTACTAAAAATTTAATAAATAACAGGCAAGTAAATTCGCGGCTACCGTACTGGTTTTGCGTAAAGTTTTAGTTGATAATACCATCTCCACAACACTTGTTAAAGAGGGAGGAGCTGGTGGTTGGGGAGAATGGTCGCCGTGGTCTGCGTGTCCTGCGCCTGAACATTGCTCTACTCGCACGCGTAGCAGACATCGCTTCTGCGATTCTCCGCCACCCGCCTATGGAGCCAAGTATTGTGAGGTATAAATACACATATTTAGGGACTGATAGACAAAAAAGAGATTAGAACGGCTGTATATAGAAATAAAGTTTGTTGAAATAATTTTCGAAGTCATCAGTCTATTTACAGGAATTTCATTTGTTTAATTTACATAATAAACGAATTTGTATCTTTTGACAATCGTACACTCAAAGTCAAATAAAACCTTTTACGCCCACCACGTGTGTTGACACGACAGTGACATAGAAACGCTGTGACCATAGCAACATTGCTTAGTTACGTGCTTGTGTTTAATCAATATTTTAGTGTCAACGTTCGCTTAATACATACACATTTAATATTTATTTTTTAATTTATTTTACAAAGTAATGGCTCCAAAAAAGGATAAAGGCAAAGAGGATGGAAAACCATCAGGAGGTGGTGGCGGTGGATTCACTGAAGTAGAGCGAACATTCCTAGAACTTCAGGTTACAGACTGTAATCGTAAGATCGCAAGGCTTCGAACTGCTGTAGATGAATATGAACAGCGTAATGAGGAGCTTCAAAAAGCCTACGACAAACTGGACGAAGACAGAGCTGATATTATTGCTTACCTCAAAAAAACTCTCAACAACAAAAACGAGGAAAATAACGAATTAAAAGAGAAAGTAAAAGGATTAGAAGAGACGAGAGAAATAGAGACAGCTCAATTTAAAGAAACTGTTAATGATTTGGAGCGAAATTTCACCATTATGAAAGACCAATTAACATCGGAAAATAAACTTTTAGCTGGTAAACTCAATACCTTGGAGGAATTTCGTGCAATACGGGATGATTTGATGAGAAAGTTTGATAAACAAGAGCAAGACTTTAAAGACCAGGAAATGAAATACAAACGAGTTATCTATGATGCAGAAAAAAAGTTCGTTATTGGTAAAGACAAGCTGAAAAAAGAAATGGAAGGTCGCCTTCTGCAGCTTGCACAAGATTTTCAAGATGCTACGGAACTTAGAATTGCTGCTTCAACTCACAGAGTGATAAGAGAAAATATAGCAATTAATAATGAGTTAGACAACATTCTATCAACTCAAGCAAAGATAGCTGAACAAAATGAAAAGTATAAAGAAAATGAAAGAGCAGCTCGTGTAGCAAAGGAACTAGCTGAAGAAGAAAGAGATAAAGCTATAAATAAGAATGTTATTCAAGTCAAAGTAATTGATCAACTGACGGTAGCTTTTCAAGAATTGCAAAAAGAAAAGGGTCTTTATGAAAAGAAAAGCTTTGATTTTGAAATATTACAAGAAAAAATACAAAAATTAACAAAAGACAACGATAACTTATCATTACAAGTAAGAATTTTAGAGCAAAACCTTCACTCTAGGATGTCTGCTGAAAATAAAGCTACAGCAGAAGCTTCAAAAGTATATAAAGAATGTGAAAAATTAAAGAAAATATTATCTGAAGCTGCCGTAGCTGTTCAAGCTGCGCTCAAATTGGATGATTGGGCGACAAAAGATCCCTCGAGAGAAATTATGGATCGACAAATGTTGCTTGCAAGATTACTAGATATTATATCTCAATATCACGATATGCAACGAGCAGAGTCAATGGACACTTTAGCCTCTTTTGGCAAAGTTTACGAAGAGGGCGACCTTGGATTTATGCCAAAACCAGCAGCAAAGAAGGCGGCTATCCCAACTGTATTCTCTGCTGCTTCAAGAGAATCTATTAAAGCCGAGAAACGCTCATCGGAAGCTATGTCTGTCACTTCAGCTTCATTAAGCAGCATTAAGACTATTCCAAGTATGAAACTGGTACCACCGTCTACGGAACCGGTTCCACTCGTGCCAAAAGATAGTCTTCCGTCATTTGTCACGTCCTCGCAGTCATCCGTAAGTGAAAGTGTTGAAGCTGAGGAGGTACCAGAAAGTGAGATGAGTATTGGCCAGAAACTCGAGCAGAGTAAGATTGAGATTCAGAAGTCAATATTAAAAGATCTACAATACTCTCAGGCTGCTTTTATATCACAAGCAAGATTGTCAACAGAAAAGAAATCAGTAATATTCGAAGGTGAAGAAGCTGAAGGCGAGCATAAGGAAGGTGATGAGATGGAAGGGGAACATAAGGAAGGTGACGAGATGGCAGGGGAACACGTGGAAGGAGAACACGTAGAAGGTGAAGAGACTAGTGAGGGAGATAAACCCGACCAAGAAGGTGCTCAAGATGAACAGGCAGCTGACGAACAGACCGAAAAAACTGAATAGTTATTGTGTAATATATTTTTTTGTAGTTAGTGTTATAATATCATTGGAAAACGTTTTTAATTTAATAAATAACAAGATCATTCTTATATTATTTTAAATAACATAGTATAATTCAACAAATCTCTCGTTCAAATAAAAATATCTCTGTGTGGATTACAGCTTACAGATTAAAGCATATGAGATTTTATAAACCGAATGCCCCACGTAAAATACTGAGAAATATTGCTCATTCTATAAGCCAATAAAATTTAGGTTTATTATAAAATGGCCTCTGACATTCTGTAGGTTGTAAGAGTAATCAATGTTCGTGGAAGTATCCCAGACTTTATTCCAGGGCCAAGCAGTCGAACTAGCGGCTTGCGAATGCTCTGCGCGCCCATGGGCAGGTGATTCCTCAATGGTGGTGGCTGAGATCGGTGCACGGTGTCGGTGTGGCTGTGTACTCCACCTGGCACCAATTGCCAGACTACTGGCGGGGTCTGCCAGGGCCTGCCCGGCCAGATCTTTCTGGCTACTACAGGTGATGTAAATGATTATTATATATGTTTTAAGAAATGATCCCCTTTCAGATACACAGTTATCTTTCCAACTTACTTCGGACTATACAGTTAGACTTTGAAGAAGATTTAAACGAGTCCACCATTCGTGGTGAATAATAAACATATAATCAATAATAACCCAGCGCTATAAATGCATTTATTATTTCGTCGAAAGAACAATGACCTTGAATAAAAAAGTATCTTTAGTTTTCATAAATAAAAAATAAAAAAATATGTTTATTATGGAATATAAGATACAGGTACCACTTATTCGACGTCATTAAATTTGAAACGGTAGACATCCCTACTTATCGGCAAAGAAGATAGAGGGTGTAGGCCTAGGGAAAAAGCAGGCGTAAAAAACTCTCGGGTACTCTTTTAAAATAGCAAATCATCAACCAACACATATTTTAAAACAAATATCACAAATTAATTAGAAGTAGCCAGTCTAGCACCAGTCCCAGGCCCTTTTATCAACTAGATTATCGTTAAATTTATAGTTAGCCTTTTTACACAGCTTTTCTTTAATACATTTCTTAAGTAAATCATTAAATCATTCCTTAAACTCTCTCTTACCTTAAACATGAATTCAAATTCTTAAGCCCTTATAAGTATATGTGACGTTCCTCTTATAGATGCTTCTTGGAACTCTCACAGCTCATCCTTCTTAGGGAACTCGTTTAGGATCTCCGCCATTAAATTGTGTTATTAATATGTTTGTATTGTTTTAGATTAAGTTTGGTAATTATATAATTTGTCAGTGTAACTTGTAATTTTGTTTTTGTTGATTTGGTTATGTACTTTACCCTAAATATTTCTTATTTTACTTTTATTCCCTACTAGGGTTGCCTGGAAGAGGTCGCTTGTTAACGATAAACAGCATGTTGCAGCCCTCATAATTTTTATGTTATTCGTTTTTCTTTTTATGTAACGAAGTATAAAAGAATAAAGGAAAAATTAACTCTTGGATAATGTTTTAGAATACTTCACTAAAATCAATAGACATCTATTATTTTAAATATTTACACCCGCACCAGTTAGGTTTTTATATATTAACTACAAATATTATAATCTCATTTCACACAAATAAGGTAGCAGCGAAATTGTTATATTTATCAAAGTGATTATGAAAGCTTCCATTAAAACTGAAATGTGACTTTTAACCTTCAAGCGGGCGCGCGGTCATTTGTAACGGGAGCGGGCGCGCGTAACCGAAAAGACCTATGGGAAGAATAAGAGAAAGAAAGCACTAATTACTCAATATTTATTTATTTATTTGTACTCAGATATATTATCATTGTCTTTAAAGTCTGATTTGTCAAAAAAAGTAATTAAAAGTATGAAAAAGAAACAAATATTTCAAGTACTATCGGAAAGGTCATTTTCCTCCAAAGCCAACCATCATCTCATCAATTACAACGTTCTCTCCCACTGAACATGGCAATAGACAGTTTTGTGGAAACATATTATCTAAAATTTCTCATATTGGCGCAGCTTTGTCAAGAATACGACGAGCTTGTCGCGTAGTAGCATCATCAAACCGCAATGAATACAGCAGAAATTATATTCTTTTCACTGACATAGTAGTAGGGAAAATAGGTAAAAATATAAAATCTTCTAAATTGACGTGTGATATCTTCAAGGATCCCACTACAACAATTCCAAAGTGCTCGAATTTCCCCCGCATCTGTTGGTTTGCAGTCACGTATTCTGCTATACGATGGTGCTTTTTTTTAATGAATTCGTTGGTATATGTAACAACTTTTTCAATATTATTCTCTGAAATGAATAAACTCCAGGCTTGCGTAAATGTTGTCACCCCCAGACCATTCCTACGAGGGTCCGCATCTTCTGCGAGAATATTTTGAACTTGACGCCTCACTCTGTTATTGTTAGATTTTTGCTACTTCGTTACTTTATCGCGCCTTGTAAAACAGCTACTTATTTCTGTAATTGGCAAATCATCCTCTTCTGAGTCTGAGAGGTTTGATTCCTCAGCAGATCGAAGTTCCTCAATCCTCTGCAACGATGTGGTCGGAAGTTTCAGAGCCTTAGTCGCTGAGCTCTGATTCACTTTCTTCTTCGTCTTCTCTTAGTAATTCCTCGAATATTGCACTTTGTGGTAACCGTCTGAATCATTTTATATAAAAAAATCCAATCTAAATCGATATTATTGAATGATGGCCAAAATGGTATGTGTCGTTGAGCGTCGCGCGTAACCTTTTCGACGACAGGCGCGTGTAGTCTTTTCGACGACTGCACTGGGACGGAAACAATTGCGATCTATGGAGTGGGGGGAGCGCCCCGAACAACGGTTTATTCTTTATTTTACTCCCAATGACATAGCGACAGGCTACTATAAATGAGAAATAAATGTGATGGGTAATAATAATAATATGAACGAAAATGTACTAAGCGCGGTCGATTCGACTACGCGCGCCCGCTTGAAGGTTAAAACCATCTGTAAACTTGTAATGAGTACGCTTTAACTTTTTAAATTTAAAAATTCTCAACTAAAGACAGAAAAAGTTAAAAATCGTAGAGGAGCACACTTATATGAGCATTTATCATGTCTTTTTTTCATGTTTTCCGTTCTAAGACTCTTATACAGATAAAAGCTCAAAATTTCAGTCTTACTTCGTTTATTTTACTTTTTAACAGATTATTATAGAAATATCTTTTACAAATCTGTATTCTACTGTATTTTAAACCAACCCAAATTTTAATTTGGTGGCTTGGATTCGATTCCTACACTGTGTGTCAGACACTGAGAGCTGATTACCTACTTGCATATAAACAAACAATAATGTAGAAATCTAAGGTCAACCAGAAAGGGGTATTGTAGCGCCATTGGCTTTATTGATTGCGTCTTGAAACATATCAAACTCAAAACTGGATTGTTGTTTACGTTTCAACCTCATATAAAGCTTATGAGTCAATAAACCCATCCCACAATGTGAACTATACCTTGCAGACGTAAGTTAGTTACAAGCAATAACTTAGTTTGGTCATGTAAGCGGGCTACGCCACAATACTGACTCCGATATCAAACCTTTGTGTTAATTTCGTGTACCAACAGTCTAAGTTCTTTCAGTACAAGTTCCAGCTATTCATGGTAGTACGTTATATTATACTAGCTGCCCCCGCGAATTTAGTTTCTCCTTAATGCCTAGCCTACCTTTTTAGTACATACCAACATTTTACTATGAAACCCCAGAGACTGTTCGGTTTTCCGGTATGGAAACTTGTTAGGTTTTTCTGTGATTTTTCTCTATATAAACCTCAGAGTTCAAGTTATAAATAAGTTCTTAACTAACAAATAAAAAATAAGGGTTACCTTTTGTCTTCAGTCACCGTCACCACGCACGCTGTAAAGCACGCGAAACGTTAAAATTATGTAAAACAATTATAAGTTGATAATAATACATAGCTTCAATCCGTTAAAAAAGTGTTTTCTTTAAATGTGTAAAAGTTAATGTTAATAAAAGGCAATACTAAATAAGGGTTGATTATAAGAATCGGTCGAGCCGTTTCGGAGGAGTATGGGAACGAACAACATTGTGACACGAGAATTTTGTTTATTAGATTTATTACTAAAGTTTTTTATCGTGCTTATAAACTTTTGGGAAACCTCAACTACCTGTGTCGTGTACATTTTTTATAAGAACGGTGAAATACCTCGACGACATTACACGTTAAAATTCTCTTGACTTCTTTTATTTTTCGGCTTTAAATATTTTAATGCCTTTAAATTACAAAAAGTATGCACTACCTGTACTAGTATTGATTTGTGGAACTCGTAACGAAGCACGAGCATGCAAAATGTATCTATAAAATATAGGTTAAAGAAAATTGAGCATAAAATAATTGCATATTCAAGCACAATTCATTTTAAAACCGATAAACTTTAAAATTTCATTTAGTAAACAGGCAACTCTGAAACGGTGCAATGAAAGTTATATTGAATGTTGCTAAAAGCCATCAAAACTTGCCGATTTTCCATCGCCGAGTAATAACTCCGATACAGGCTCGTTTAGTTTACCCGGTTTTCAATAATTTTCCCGGGAAACGGGGAAATCGTAAATTTGCACTAGTTGACATCCTTTTAGATATCAATTTTCGAATAGAATATCCATTGTTAGTTTAAACTTGGATTTAAATTCGTGAGCAAGTAAATCATTGATGTTATGTTATACTTACTTTAAAAAAATATTTTAGTAAAACGTTTTTTAGTTAATCTTAACGCTGGAATATGGGAAGATTTAGCATAGAGAATAATTATAATTTCTATCCTGAAAAAGGCAGTTGCCAAAATGAGTCAAAAGATGTGATTTAAATGTGAATTTTCAAAAAGATTACGTTGTGTCAATGAAATTAGTAAATTCTGTACTATTAAAAATGAAGCAAGCTATTTTCTGAGTATCTACAGACTGCATGAAGCATTTAAGCTACGACCTACAAATGTTTTGTCAAGTGAAGTCACGTCCGAGCCAAGTTTGCCCGACTTGACAAACATCCTCTTGGCTATTTAAAGCAGATCAACCGAAACTCCGGTGCAGATTGGAAACGTAAGCTTTGAATGATGAGATTCAAGATTCCGTTAGGACTTGAGATTAATGAATTGGTATTCGTCGGATTATATTCTGCACTTGATAAAAATTGCTGAAAATTGACTTAAGTATACAAATTTACCTCGCTATTTTTAGGGATGGGGCGTTGGAAGGTTTCGTAGCGGTTGGAGATTTAACAACCACAAACTGTCTCAGAATACACCAATACCTACTATTAAAGAAATTAAATGCCAAAGTCAAATGAGTTTTATATCCATATCTAAATATCGTAATAAGTGAATAAATGAGTAGTGTTAGCCTAGTGGCTTCAGCGTGCGACTCTCATCCCTTAGATCGTAGGTTCGATCCCCCGCTGTGCACCAATAGACTTTCTTTCTATGTGCGCATTTAACATTCGCTCGAACGGTGAAGGAAAACATCGTGAGGAAACCGTCATGTCTTAGATCCAAAAGTTCGACGGCGTGTGTCAGGCACTGGAAGCTGATCACCTACTTGAATATTAGATTGAAAAATGATCATGAAACAGATTCAGAAATCTGAGGCCCTGACCTAAATAGGTTGTAGCGCCACCATTTATTTATTTTTAAATATCGTATAACAGAAGTGTAAGTCTATTGTTTTAAAGTGTGATTCTCAACAGTTAAGACCAGTGGATATTTCTTTCTCCATTTAATTAACATTTGCTCCTACAATTAAGGAACACATAGGGAGGCAACCGACATTTGATATTTCCACAGGAGTCTCAAAGATATCTGTTAAATCCAATTATTTTCTGTACTTATATTAAAATATTAATTAAAATGTAAATAAATTAAATTTATTATGAAATATTTACCATCATTTTATTAAAAGAACAAATCATTTAAAACATGTTCAACCACAGTTGAACTGATTTCAACAAAAACCATTATAAAGACCACTTATCATTAAAATAACGATGTAAATGATTTTTGGATTACAATATAAAGTTAAAACTGGAAATTTCGTTAATTCAGTCAGATATAAGTGCATTTGTAAAACCAATTTTTTATACTTTAATTTTAAGCTCGTTATTACCATGTCAGTCACGCTGACTTTGACATAGTAAAAGCTACTCAAATATTGGTATGAATAATATTACAAGTGCCGGATGGTTACTAACTAAAAAAAATAATCAATGGCGCTAGAAGCTTTTTAGCTCTGGGCTTCAAATTTCTGTATCTGTTTCATGACCATTTTTCAATCAAATAGGCAAGTAGGAGATCAGCCTCCTGTGCCTGACACACGCCTTCGACTTTTCGGCTCTAAGGCAAGCCGGTTTTCTCACGATATTTTCCTTCACCGTTAGAGCTAATGATAAATGCGCACATAGAAAGAAAGTCCATAGGTGCACAGTCGGGGGATCGAACTTGCCAGCACTGGGGTGCCAACACTGCTCAGCAGCAGTGTTGGCCTACTACAGCAGTTATGGATTGGTTTCAATTTGACAAAGCGACGTTTATGTCTTTAAGTGGCCGTAATATAACTTTTTATTGGAACCAATAGTTCGGGTTCAGCCTTCAGATTTATTTTTAAAATATCATATTCACGATTAAAATACTTACTTTACACGTACGTAAACATCGTCGTAAACTCAAGGGACATCTGATTATTGATCGCTATTAAGGAGTGATACATTTGGCAATATTACAGGCGGAAGAAGGGTTAACAGTGCGGGTGCGATTCGAGGCAGTCCGCTTACCGTGTGCGGGTCAGTCCCTCAGGGCTCGTGACGGGGACTCGTTGGGCTCACCCCTTTTAGCCTCATGGGACGGCCCCGATACTAGCGCTGTGGTAAGTTTACCTGAAACTTACGACTAGTTTATAGCTAAAGTGAGATATAATGTGCTTGATCTAAACCAAAATAGGGAACGAAAAACAAAGTGATGTTATCAATTTGTTCTTGTTTAGACAATTATAACAGTTTCATTTCGTTAAATTGCTTTAACTTTTTGATTAAAAAATCAAAGGTTTAGTTAAAACTTTGTTATTTTGAAAATTCATTTTATTATTATTTCATATTATTCAATCTTATCATGAATAAGGGGGTAAAAATGAATATTTAGCATTAGAACAAATGTCAACAAAGAACCCTCCAATTTACCAATAATTCTGACTTTTACCAGTCCAGTGAAGTAGAAATGACGACTGACAGCAGCGGTATGGTGGAGATCACAGGTGGGAGACACATCCTCGTCGAACTACGGTCCAACGATGTGAGTGAACGATGCGCGGGCGGCTTTTTGGCGCATGCTACACAGAGTGGTAATTGGATGATATATTTCTCAATCTTATAATGTAGCTGTTTTATACTATAAACAAGACGATGCATCAAGGTATTTAATTTTAATAAATTCTTTTAATTTAACATTTGTCAACAACACAATAATATATAGTAAGTAATATTATAAAAACTTACGGTCCTTCATTTCAGTCATTTCGGATAAAAAAAACAGACGATATTTTAAATTAATGTTTTTACTTGATTTTGAATTTATAATTAATAAAACTTCATCAGAGCCAATCCGCAATGCATCAGCAGCGTGGGCGTCAGTGGCTACCGTAGCGTGGTGGCGCGGAGGCGGCGGAGCGCGAGCGGCGGCTGCGGCGTTAGCGGCTCTCGCTGCCTTGGCCGCTATTTTGTTAGCTTTGCATTCCGCCCATCGCACGAGAGCCTACCAACGCGCCGCTGATAAGGAGTCACTCACTGATAGCGATGGTAAATATTTTCTGTACACAAGGATTACGAAATAAATAAATAAATATACATTAAAAAAATATATATAACAATAAGAGCCTTGTGTTTAAGATACTTTACATTAAAATGCATTTATATTTCTATCATCTCATTTTTTCTAGATATCTGTGTGCCCTTTTTTGGCAAAGGCCCTCTCTATATCCCGCAATTCCTGTCTGCACTGTGACACTCTCTGCAATGTACCACCTGCTATTTCCCGCCGATTTCCACTTCCACTATTTTCATCATTACAAATAATTAATATCCCAACTTCTACACTATTATATATAAGCATTCTTATTCTGAAATCAAACCAGGCCTTAGATAAACGGCAAATTATTCTGTAATTATAACTAAAACTACGTAGTTATATTAATTGTAATATTAACTCCGATACATATGAAAGTTCGATATTTATTAATATATCTAGATAACATGTATGTTATCTGGATGGCTCATGAATGTAACCACAGATAATTGATAAAACCACAGACTAGTATACCTACACTAACATGTATCATTATGTCACTCTGCATCTTCTACCGCATTTACCATGGAGAGTGTTCAGAGGAGTTGTTCGGATTAATACCTGCAGCTGAGTTTCATCATCAGACGTCGAGCCAGAATACGAAATTCCACCCGTATCACCTCGACGTCCGCCGTTCCACAACTGAGAGCTTTTTAAGGGAGTGCTTGCCGCGCACCACCACTTTGTGGAACTAGCTGCCCACTGAAGTATTTCCGAACCAATTCGACTTAGCGAGACTTTGAGAGTGTCCATGGGCGGCGGTATCACTTAACATCAGGGGAGCCTCCTGCCCGTTTGCCCCCTGTTCTATGGATATTACTTGTAATTTTTAACGAGTTATATGTCGATAACAAAAGCTGGAATAAGTATTACTTATATTATTTATATTTCCTACTGCATTGTCTGTTCCTGGAACTAATTAATCTAAAACGTAAACCACTAATGAATAATGGAAATTTATTATCACGTTGGTCAAAGTAATCTTGTATGCATATTAAATAATACACGATAAGTTTTGAACTTCTCCAAAATCGTTTAAGGCTTGTGTCGTATTCGCAAGAAAAATGACAGACCAGGTTAAATTGCAGCTCAGGATTTTCAACACATGGTTGCTTGTGGCATTTTTTTTTCTCTTGATTGCGTTTCTTGTTATATGATGTTGTTCTTACCTGAAGGGTTTTTCCAGCATGTTCGGCATCCCTGGAGATGGGAGCGTCTGGGTCCCGAAGCACTCTGCTGAGCGAGGTGGTCGGTGGTGGAGTGTCTCTGCGACGGCTACTGCCCCGGAGGGGGCACACGAGGCTAAGAGACTGCGACAGGAGTTCGGGACACGCGGAAAACAGGTGCGTTATAAGTGCCAAACTGGTCTTATTGCACTCCTCCTTTGCTTTAAAGTAATTTAATTTAATTAACTTAGTAAACCAGTCACGAGATTACAGATAATGAAAGAAACACAATTCCCCTTATAAGGTTCTTTGTCTTTCCCCAAGTGATAATTAACTGGCAAATAAAAAGTCATCAAAATATAACACTTATTGCACTCAAGTGAAGTGTAATTAGTGACGGTTGGTCCCATTGTTTGTGCACGTTCAACTTGTTTTTCACTTAATGAGGGTTTAAAATAGACGTCACAAATCGAGGGGAGCTTTTCTCTATACAATAATAAATAAATTTTATTTATTTTGGCTTTCAACATTTATGGTACTAAAGTCTAAGTGTGTTTCTACCTCTTCTGTTTGTGATGCGCAAAGTATGTTTAAAGACTGAAACGAAATTGTAAGAGTATATGACGGAAGACAATTTTTGTTCTTTTTGTTTCTTTTTTTTTCTAGAACGGCCAGCAGGCTCATCTGATGTTAAGTGATGCCGCCGCCCATAGACACTCAATACCAGACGACGCGCGAGTGCGTAGGCGCAGGCATTTTAAGAATTGAGTCTCTTTTCTTGAAGGACCGAAATCGAAGTCGAATTGGTTCGGTAATTCAGTGGGAAGCTGGTCCCGCATAGCAGTGGTGCGAGCCACGGACGTCGACGTGATACGGATGGTATTTTATAACTCCTGTCAAAGCTATACAATTAATACTATAAGAATGATCAAGGAACAAAGAAGTGCGTCTCCACATTTAATCCAAACACAATCAAAACCATAAAACAAAAACAAAATCTGTGTATTCATTTCTTATCTACGTCACAGGGACGAAGACGACGCCACATCTGACATGGAGGCAGACGCGGTCAGCGTAACGAGCGCTTGCAGCGGGGCGAGTCAGGCTTCTCAAGCCACGGTAACACCGGAGAAGGTGTCTGCAAGCAGCGCCCCCGTCGCTGGAAGCGTTAGACAGTCGCCGCTACGACGCTCACACACCGTGTCGCATGCTTCTGTACAAGTAATTAATTATAACGTCCCAACAATTCTGACCTACTCTGTTGACTTGTACCTTAATCAACTAAAGATTGTAGTATAGGTACATCGGTACAAAGGGATATTTTTGGAAAATTGGCGATATATCGAAAATATCTTTTCATTTTCATAATAGACATTTAAAAGCAATTTTGGGCTAAGGGCTACACCGTGCGACTCTTATCCCTGAGGTCGTAGGTTCGATTCCCGGCTGGCATCAATAGATTTTATTCCTATGTGCGCATTTAACATTCACTCGTGAAGGAAAACGTGAGGAAAAAAAGTCAAAAAGTCAACGGCGTGTGTCAGGCACAGGAGGCTGATCACCTACTTGCCTATTAGATTGACAAATGATTATGAAATAGAAACGGAAATCTGAGGCTTAGACCTAAAAAGGTTGTAGCGCCACAGATTTTTTTTATATCTTTTTAATAGTTTAATTCGTACCTAATGACAATTGACAACTTGACAGATGACGTCACCCCCGCAAGCGTCAACGAGCGAAGCGATTACAGCCGAAGTGAACACGAGCGTGACCAGCGTGAGTGAGCGAGACAGCTACAGCGAGAAAGACCACGACAGTTTGTGGGACAAGGACGGACAGAGTGTTGCCTCGTCCACGTCAGCCGCTACGCTGACTAACGTTAGTGGTCTTGTGTCGTTTTTGTAATCGTAATGATTTTTACAGCTTTAATAAAAATATACTATTAATAGATAATTACATACTATTGCATTCTAGTTTTAAAAAATATGTGTATAAAACTATCCTTAACTCTATCGAAAAGCATATTTTTTAAGGATTTTTATGTAATTGAAGTTCTCGTAGTTTTTAATAGCACCTAGTGTTAAAAGCACATTACTAGAAGAGATCTGGACTTGAGTTTATCAAACAGTTTTTAACCGACCTAAAATTACCGAAGAAGGAGGTCGATGTTCGATGTGTTTTTATAAGTGTACTGTATGTACACTATATATACGTTGTATGAAGATATGATTAAGTATATATGCCTAAAAATATAAGGCTATAAGGCCGACCTTATAATTTATCTAAAATAACTCCATTTAGACGTATTCAATGTCTATTTATTCCAGGGCTGGTACTCCCCAGCACTAAGCGGAGTCTCGGCCGCCCGTATCCGCGACAACCCTAAGCACACGAAAGAGAACTGCAACCGACGGCTCTTGAGATCGGACTTGAGTCTGACCTCACATCCCGAGATGGAGATCGACTATTACGACTATGAAGTCAATAATGCGGGTAAATGTAAATGGGAACTTTTCTATGAATTCTCTTACTATTAAAACATATTTTTTTTAAATATTACTTCCTATAGGTATACATACAAAAAGTTTTTAGTTAAATATTAAAGAAGGAATAGGAAAATTACCTTATTTAAAAAATAATAATAGAAGAAACGTGGCTTATAAATTATTTAACTAATAAAATGTTTATTTAACTTATCACGTCCCTGTCCGACGATAGGAGGTTAGGAGACAACGGATCTCCACTTGCTACGGTCCTAAAATACCTCTATCGCATCAGTTTCACGACATTCACCATGCTTGTTCGACGGTTATGATTATGATACATACACACCACGCAGACACACACGCGCGCGCACACACACTCACTCACATATACACACACACATACAAACACTCACACATATACACACACACACAAACACACACCAAATTTATTTATACTACTCCGTTTGCAATGTTTTCTTTTAGCACTTATTTTCTTCTATTGTATGTTATGACAATGACCTGATTGTACGTGTTCCGGTCCGGTGGTGGAGAGGCTGGCTATCTGTCACTCAGGTCTCCTGTTACAGAGACCAGTCTCTCACATACACTTCCTAATGTGATAACATCTTAGTTTAATCATAATAACCTTATATGTATATGTGAGAGAAGAAATAAAGATTATTATTATATTATTATTACACCAAATTTTTGAGTATTCAAATATTACACATTGAATATTAAATATAATAAAAAACAATGTTAGACATCAGTAAAACATTTTATTTTTTTTATATTTAGTAGTCCCGAAACAACTTGCATGCTTAGAAATACAAGAAATTATAACGACACAAATTTACACACACATACATCAATTATCTACTCCGAACTACACAATCTTATTCCGTCATTCCCTTTCAAACAACGCTTATGAAGAAGCACAGTTTTACCCCTTCGTTGACGACAACCCCAGGTGCCACACTACAACATTTGGTTCCTCATTTCTTGTAACAGCAAAGGAGTGAAACTCCTTGCACCTTCCATCATCCCTAGACAGTGTAATGTTAAACAGGCGTGTCCTCTAATAGTCCACATCTCACTTAACATCAGGTGGGATTATGGCCAAACATCTACTCAATTCTGTATAAATAAAATATATTAAAGTTTCAACTTGGTAAGACATAAAAAAAACACAAGCAAACAGTAAAATCATAATAGAAATTTAAACTTCTTTGAGTGGGACGCAAAATTACGGTAAGTAGGAATATTGTTTTGTAATATTATGATTAATTAAATTATTAGTTTAATTAAAATAGTTTATAGAGCTTTTTAGAGCTCCTTAGGCGACCAACATAATTAATATGACAATATTGTAATTAAATTAATCATAAAGGATATTATAATAGGGATAGAGGATAGATATTAATTTAACATTGAGTTATTCCCGATAGTTTTGATTGAAATTGTTGAACCAAAAGTATTAATACGCTATAATTGTGTTGGTTAAAATTGTAAAACACAAATAATGATTTGTCTGTTTGTCCCTTAGGTATTGAATTTAAGTAAACACAGTATTGTGTTTTCCACCTGGTTGTTTTGACCCTAGGGTCACACACACTTTGGGTCTATCTCGATGGTTATTTTGTCAAACTACCAACTCCGCGGCTTTGTATTCCATTTCCGTTGAAAAAATAGTTGTTTCGATTGCAAGACTGTTAAAGACTCATTGCCCATTAATGTAACATGGTCTGATTATGTCCTATTACAAATACTATTTCTGTTGTGTGCCAGGTTCGGTTCCCGGGTCGTACTTAGGAATGGACCCGGCGTTTCTCGTCTGGATTCCGCCTCTGGACGAGGGAGACATCATCAGAGAGATGGATGAAAGCAAGGTTCCGATTTACGAAGTAAGTTTTATACTCAGAAGACGTACTATCTTAGCTTGTACGGTTAACAAATCTACGATTTGTAGCGGCTGCGTCTCAAATCTAATTAAAATTAATTTATTTATATTGTTAGCATAAAGGAAGATCTTTTAAGTTTACTAGCAGTTGCTAAATCAAGAAATTGAGCGTCGAAAATATTTTAAACAAATATGTATCACGTAATAAATAGGTTTGGGGATCGTAATATTGTTTATTATAACGATTAATAGTAAAATTACAACAAACAAAATTGAAATCTGAAATATTCAGAAAAAGCACTATTTCTCGGTTCATTTGATCTCTTTGTTCAGGAAGTGATCCCGATAGAACTGAGACCGAATCCGGGCAGCAACACCGAGTCACCCGAAGACCCGTCCACGCTGAAGAGAATCCCAACGAATCGCTCGAACGAGTCCATCAAATTCCGCAAAGCGCTCGACAGGAGCGTCATTCACCCTCTGAACTTCAGCATCAGTGATTTGCAAAACTCGCCCAAACTGCCCAAAAGGAATAAGAGGAAAAAATCCGAGATTCCCGTGAACATTCCGATGAAGGATCTCACCTCGATGTCCCCGGCCAAGGTGCACAGGAAGTCGGATGACTCGACGCTGAAAAGGGTGACGGAGACCAGAGAGAAGGACAGCACGCTGAAGAGGAGTGATTTTAATGATATTAGATTTGCGGATGATTCGTCGAACGAAATCAAATTCGCTGACGATTCGCCCGACAGCAATCGATTGATGGATCAGTTTGACCTTGAAGTGTAAACTGGTTAAGAACCAATCTAGTAAAGCGATTTCAAAGCGAGAGAAGAATGTTTTGTCAAAAATCGACAATAACATCTATTGTAATACGGACCCAAGTTCTCTATGTTGGAAAAAATATATCTTTTATTAGTTTTCTTATGATTTACGTTTTAATTAATGCACCTATGTTTCCATTTAATAATAGTAAATAAATAGATAATATTAATTTTTTGTACTTATAGAAAGACTCGACATTATTTTGTCAGACATTATTGATAGATATCTCTTAAATTATTAAAAGTTCCTGTCGGCACTTAATCGAAAGGCAGGTAAAACAGTTGCACTTATCTTTAATAAATCTTACAACTCGGGGTACGTACTTGTAGAGACCTATTAGATAAAATATTAAATTTATGTTTAAACATCACTATAATTCCGTTTGATCGGATGCAATATTTTGAATTACGTGTTAGTATTGTATATAGAATGAGTTTGCGTACACAAATAGTTAACGTGAACCCGGCGAGCTCAAAGCTAATCTACTAATATTTAGAATAGAACAATACAAATAAGCTTTGCATTCCCATAATAACATTGTGTGTGTTTTCTTGTAGCTACCGAATATAGTTTAATTTTAGTACTATTTTAATAATAGAAAGCTCGTAAATATAGCTCTTTCTGGCGTTCTTTCTCTTGCATCCACAATTGCACGTGCAATTTCTGCTTATCACTCAAGACGTATTCGATTCCAAAATATATTCGGTAACTATAGTATCGCAGGTAAAGCATTCTTTAGACCCATTAGTTGTACTAAGGACCAACTTGTGAATAGAACCTCTCATATCATCACTCATACAAATCATTAACATAGCTATCTGATTATATATAATTATGTGTCTAATGTGCTCTGGTTAAACATACTTTTTTCCGCTATATAGATACCTCTATAAAATAATTATTCAACGATAGAGGTATTTTGTATGAAATTTTCTTTTAAAAGACTGACATTTCGGGCAGTGCAATACGTCTAAATTAATTAATTCGGCCACTAAACAAAAGTGGGTCAATAACGCATGAGATGTTTTCGAAATCCGTGGGAAAAATCCATTGCATCTGTCGGATGTTTCAATTGTGATAGGTTAAATTCTAAATAACGGCATACACTAAACGCTAAAGCCGATTTGTTTCCATAATTCCCTTACGCTCGAATTGACAATTCCGATTGTCCGTTCTATCAAAATTTAATGACTTTGCAAATACGACAAAGCGTCATTGTTCGTATTAAATAGCGGTGAACTAATTTAAGTTAATGTTGTTCATTTAGATATAATTGTTTTTATTTAAATACATTTAATTGAAATTAGAGGCTTTTGTATTATATAAACTTCAGTTTCTGCATCATACATATATAGTAAAGCACTGTTATATGCTACCAGTATGTACAATATATTTTATAAGATTACCCTTAAATGTATGCAATAATTGTCGTAGCACTTAACGGACGTTCGTAGCATAACCGTAGCTACCAGCGCTACGAATTGGTATATATAAATAAATGTTGTTACTTTGGAATTTTTTTATCATTATAAAATATGATTCATAAATCTCGTGTAATCGGATTTTATCTTTAAATATTGTTAAATATACTTAAGTTTCTTAAGCTAAAAAATTACTTTATTAAAGTATAGAAAATTTTGTACAATTAGCTGATTTGATCTCAGAATGTCTAGTCATTTAATTTTATTTACAGCTTAATAGCACACTAGTCGTAAGATTTGTAAACATTAATATTCTTTATTTTAATGTAAAATGCACTAAAGCAATATCTGAATGTCCGAATATAAGTAATGTATTTTTTCTTTTACATACGAAATAAAGTGTTTTTATTTTATACTTTAAACTTGTCGTTTTATTTTAGTAGAGAAGTAGGGAAGGGGATCACGGGTCTGGGCGTTACTGCATACAATTTTTTGCATTTTCTGAGAAGATTTACTATGATAATAAATATATTTTTTTTTTACCATAGGAAAGTAGAGATTTCAACGAACTGAAAACACACCAACTTTTTGAAAAAAGCTGATATTTTGACGGGTGAATTTTCGATTGAAAATTAGGGTGTTTTTTCGATATTAATTCAAAATAAGGTGAAAAAATAAATATTTTTAATCAAATAAATTACAGCGTATTTGAGACATAGAAAGGTAAGTTTTCACCAAATTTCGTAAAAAAAAATTTTTTTTTTTAAAAGATATCAATTATTAACCAAAAACTTGGTTTTTTGAATTTTTCACATAAATTTTGAGGTTATGTGAATCCAAAAGTTTTAGATCTTTTTATTACCTACAACTTTGCCATTTAACTTTCTTCGATAGGAGTTTTAGTTTTGCCGGAAATCGAGATAAACCGTTTTTTACCCTTAAAACTCCCAACCTCAGATCGCCCTTAAATTATTTTTCCTTTAATTTTTATAATATTCTCCTCCTTTTCCAATAGGCACTGGTCTATATAGACATTAGTCTCTTTCTATCAAACTGAATTTTCACCGCAAAGAAAAGAGATAATACTGCTAAGTAAAACTATAATAATTTGACGAATAGTAAAAAATTGGTCTGTTTCAATAACACATTGGCAGTAACGAAGCCTAGTTATGATCCACGTAGCTTTGAAATAAGCCTGGCGCAGATTAGTGCTTATTCACGCCCGAAGCAGCCACATTTGAATGCAGGGTATTAGTTATTGTCATGAGCACGATTTCAAATGTAATAATCATTGATGCATTTCGCTAGATTTGGAATTTGTATTTCAATTGTTTTACGCTGAAATAACTAAAAGGTATTTTATAGGATTTTTTATTATTTTCATTGATAATAATTATACAAATCATATTTCATTAATTCACCGCACTAGCAAGTATCTTGTACATATTGAGAGATTTTTCGTTTAATTTCTATTTACATAGTATAATGAACTAACGAATCTCAGAAATTTCAATATTATATCTTAAGTGTAGTATGGACCATTTTTTTTTAAATTTATAATACAATGAAAATTGTTAATATTTTGTTAATTAATAACTATTAACTTCATATATTGGGTTGTCGCGGGAAAAGTCTTGAAGAAGTCAGGACAGAAACAGAAATGTATCTGTTCCTTGTCCTACAAGGTCACGGGACTTGAATTAATGTTAAAAGAATGTTACATAGAAAGCAAATAGAGAGTTGGTTATTAAGAGATAACGTTTACTTAAGCCAATAGGGCTAAAGCCAATATATATGTACCAACATAGATCCAATCGGAACAAAAACTGGTATTTTACTGCATTCGCATGGATTTTATGAATTTTTGATCGATCAAATGATGGTTTACTAAGAATTAGTTTATATTAGAAAGATTAACTTAAATAATAATAGTGAAAGCTTCTAAATAGTATACTTAGAAGGCCAGACCAGGTGCCACTGCATCGACAGACGAAAGGAGGATTTATTGCAAGTTAATTCAGTTGGAAATACTCAAGAAATGGAGCAAATATATTTTTCATTTCGTAGGCCAAGATACATTATAACTGTCATCAGATAGTTAAAATAAAATTTATTCTTGGCGACCAGTAGGCCATTTAATTTAGAAAACAAGTAGAAGATGATCTATCATACGTCCGTCACGTCCAAGCACCCGAATGGAAGAAGAAAGCAGGTGAGGTAATCAGCACGCTAAATCCCTTCGCGTCAAAGTGACATCAGGTTATGTAATCACTACACAAAAGTACTAGTAAGTAGAAACAATATGATACAAATATTAATAGTACATAAATTATAACAATCTTTCGTGGACCAGGCTCAACTAATTGGAACCGTGATATTAAATTCTTTGATAATAATGTGACACGGAACTTAATAAACGATGGTATTCGGTGTTCCGACAAGGTTTAATATGTGATCGCTGAATTGTAATTATTGTTTTACAAGTTACACAATTGCTTTATATTTATAATTTTTAAACGTTCTTTGTTCTTTTGCTGCCTAATTGAACTTATTAATAATAAAAATAATATCAGTGGCGAGTTATGTAACCTACCATTAGGTAAGTTACATATATACATCGCATCGCACTAAGCCAAAATGAGCCCTGAAGTTATTCCCACACTAATAATTTGTAATATAACATTCTCGTTTCCGATAATGTCCAAAAAGTTGACTACACTTATATTCTTTATAGATAATAGAAGTGTCACTTAGATTTAAGAATCCTTTAATTAGTCAAGTTAGTTTTTGGTTAGTCTAGCGTCGCAACCCCATTACCCCTAATTTTATGTTAGTGAGCTTATAGCTCATGTTTTAAACGAATAAAGCCAGTTGACACCCAGCTTCAAACAAAGTGTTTCATGTAACATATATTTGAACATCCCTACGAAAACCGCCGCTGAACTGAATTGGTGGTCCAACCTTTTTATTTAGGTCCGGGCCTCAGATTTCTGTATCTGTTTCATGATCTAACAAGTAAGTGATCATACTACTGCGCCTGACACACGCCGTCGACTATTTGAGTCTATGACAAGCCGGTTCCTCACGATGTTTTCCTTCACTGTTCAAGCAAATGTTAAATGCGCACATACAAAGAAAGGGCATTGGTGCACAGCCGGGGATCGAACCTAGGACAGGTTGAAGCCACTAGGCCAACACTGCAATTATATTGACAACAACGTTCTGAATACAGATAACTTCAACTAATTATTGATTGTTTTGTTAATTTGTACTGTAGTAACACTGTGGCTTCTTAAAACTAAAACTCTATTATAAAAGATATATCATATATAGAGTTATGTCAAAATATACAATTTTAAAACGCGACAAAGCAAACTTGTGATACTGACGTTCACTGACACACACATTTATTTGCACAAAATATTAGAAAGCCGCGCTTGAGTGATCTCGGCTGACCTAATTTTCTGGAAAGCAAAAACTTAACAAACGTCTCTATGTAGCTAGAAGCTATCACGGGATTAAAGGTCTAGATGACGTAGCACT